TGAATATTCTAATATATGGTGCCCCTGGACTCAAGCCCCTCTCCAACTCTTTAACTTCTTAGCAGAAATCATTCATTGGTGTGGGATGAAGAATGATCAATATGCAGATGATACGAAGTTTTATATCCCTATACTGGGTTGAATGGGAGATGCTGTGGAGGTCTTGACCTCATACCTGAAATTGTGAGGGACTGAATGGTATAAACAGGCTTAAGATGAATCCCAATGGGATAAAATAGGTGTTCATGGAACATCCTTTCAGGATGTTTAATTCTTGCTGGGATTCTACAAATCCTGAAAGAGCAAGTAGGCAATCTTGGGATTCTCCTGAACTTGCAGTTCCTGTTAGATCACTAGGTAGAAACTGTAGTCAGGAAATGTTTTGTTCAGCTTCAGATATTGCATGGGTTATAGTTTCTTCTACACTTGTAATTCATGCCCTTATTTATTATTTGGTTTGTTGCAATTCAATTTATATGGAACTGTCCTGAAACTATTTGGAAGTTTGCAGCTGACTCAGCATTCCCTCAGGAAGAACCTATATACTGAAGTACCATCAGTTTTGTTGAATGCTGCCAGTTGGCTTCTGGTACAAGTTCAAAGTATTGGTACAAAATAGTTGTTATTCAAAAAAATCCATTAGGCTTGGGTCCTTTTCAGCTTCAAGCCCCTTTGTTCTAGGTAGAATCAATCCATACAATATATTGTGGCTAGGAGGGTATGCTAGGGATTTCCCTCTTTTGACTTTCTGTTTATTGCTTTGGGCATTCTGCCTCAAGATCAGGTTGTCCCATTTCTAGGACCATTTCCCAAATGTGTTAAACAGTGCTGTTCCAAATAGCCTTCAGTGCAGGGAATGCTACTTATCTGGACACAGCTGCTATGTAGGGATTGGTTAAGAAGTTTTAGATTACTGTGGCTGTTTTTAATTTTTATTTAATTACATCATGAGATAACAGAGAATCTATTGGGTAGCATTCATGTAAAGAAAGTAGGGCCCTTGAATTGAGATCAGACCGGTAGATTCCTCGGCAACAATTTTATTCCAAGTTATTTTTGATTCTTAGTCTTGGAATTTCCAACTTGCAATTTCCTGTGCATTTTAAGTATAAAACAAGTCTAACCCTGCTTATATTTTTTTTTCCCAATATCACTACAGTGAGATAGGTGCTTCTGCTTGCTGACACTGTATCTTTAATAGTGCCAATCAGTTATACAAAATAATTTGCAACTGTGAGATTTTGCTTATCTTGCTTTTCAACTAAGAGCTCAATGTGATAATTCACAAATGATAATTCTCCTAGGAGGAAAAAATACTATAAGGTACTGGGAAATCTGTTAAACTTAGCTGCTGGCCAAGATAGCCCAACCATTTTTTTTTCCAAGACAATTTTTATTAGTTTTCCATTTTACACCAACACAGCTTAAGAACCCACGTAGAAACACGGCGATCCATTTTTAAAAAAAAACAAACAATAACATAGTAAATATATATCCATTATTTCTTAAAAATTTCCCTCTCTATCTATATAGAACATTATAATCAAGTTAATACATTTTCAAATAAATTCATTCATTACTGTCTAACCATCAACTGCATTAATCAATAAAAAAAATTTAATCTATAAAACCCTATATTTCTTCACACATTTAAACTTAAGCTTAATAAAACTCCATTCATTTAAAAACATTATAATCAAATCAATATCTTTCTAAAACCAATTCATTCACTAATATAACATTTCATCCAAGTTATATAATTAAAGATAAGCTAAGATTCTCTATCTATTTATATTATTGTAGGCTCATTAAAACCTTTCTGAAACAAATTTTCATTGAATATATCATTCTATATTAATTAATTAATTAATCAGTAAAAGTTTACAAACTCATTATCCATCCCAAAGATCCTGTATCATGCTTTCTTAATTTTGCAAATATTTAATCTTAAACTAACATATTCATTTACTATTCAGGTGCCCCAAGTGTTTTTTTTATTTAAGCATTATTAACTCCAAAGAAAAATTCTTCTCTTTCTCACCAGTCTTCTATTATTTTTCACTGTTTGTCCAAATCTCCAATAATTAATTCCATCATTTCCCATATTTCAGTTCTTTTCTCATTATACCATATAAAATCCTTTTAACAAAATCCAAGACCAAATCAATCCAAATCGCTATAAGGCCTTTACCACGTTACTATAATCAAACCCCAACTTTCTACTTTTGCAAAATAATATAAACTATAATCAGATTTAATATTTATATCTTATTCTGGGTTTCTTTCTAGTCCAAACAGGTTTTCCATAATCAGGCCTCCGCCTGCCACACTATACACTCCAGAGAGAAAGCTCCCATTGTGCATTTTGTTAAATTAGTATAAAAGTTATAGTTAATCTGAATGACTCATAGCAGAACATCATTTCCCCTTTCTTTTAACATTGAATAAATTTCACTTAAAATCCTTTCTTTTATATTGTCCTCTTTGATCACATGTTTCTCTTCTTCCTGTGTTTTTTTCTCTATCTCAAATTCAAATGGCATCTGCAGTCCAACTTGTCCTGCTGAAGCAAGATTGTCCAGTTCCTTATCATAAGTCCTTTGTCCGTTAATATCAAGTCTTTTTTCCAAAATCAATTGATTGTCCAGCTGTGGATTTGCTTCTTCCACCTCAATAAGCAGAGCACAAGCCTCTTGTGTATAAACTGATATTTCACTTAGTCCTTGACTTTTGCCTTGTCAAAACAAAGAAATCTCCTTTGAGCAAGCAATTATCTTCTCCGTATTTTCCAAAATTTTGTCCAAAATATATTTGTAAGTAAGATCTACACCAGTTTCCTCCATCTTTATTATCTTTCAACTCCTTATCCTTTTAAAGGAGACTATATTTAAAAAAGAAATCACAATATCCATCTCCTCCCAATTTCCTCGCCTTTTTCCTTTGCACAAAATGAAAGTCTTTCCAGTGAAGAAAAAATAGCAAGTACAATGAATAAATTTGTCAGAGAGAGTCTCCCGGAAAGTAATCAGATGTTCAATCCTTCCAGACACCGTAAAGGTAAAAGCAAACAATATTCTCCAAATATTATAAAAAACTTTCTTGAGGCTCCCAATATCCAAAAATAAAATCAACCATTAAAACAAAAATAAATTTAATCCTTTGTGTTTCTCTTCCCCCATTTAAAAAGCCGCTTCACCAGAAAAGGGAATAATCCAAGGGGGGAAAAAAACTTTTCACAGGCATAAAGAAAATAGAGGTGAAAGAAAAGTCTCACTGGGTTCTCCATGGTGGGTCCGTTTGCTTAGCTGATCTTGTGGCTTGCGGTTGGCGCAGCTAAATGATTGGCCATGTTACTGGCTGATCTTTACCCTGTCGGCCCAAAGGAGATACTCAGTGCACAGAGGACGCCGCCACTCCTCTGCAACTATCCAAGAAGCCTTCTCAACGGTAGACGCTCCTCCAGAGCATCTTTTCGACCCTCTAAGGCGTCTACCGGCAGGGGAAACTCGATCGGCAAAGGGACAACTCCCTTCGCTCGACCGCACCACCGCAAACCGGAACCGGAAGCCCCAGCCCAACCATTTTGTTTTATACCAACAGAATGTCCCACCTACTGGTAGTTATATACAGGACTTTTTTGTCATAGAATGCCCAGAACGGAGTTCTGGCACCTTTTTTGTATAAAACCTTGTAGGGTAGGCAAGGCGGGTTGTATGACGTGTGTGAGTTCCGGCACCTTTTTTTTTTTTTTTTTTTTTTACAAAAAAAGCACTATATACCTAATGTACATAATGTACATAATGCAGCACTATAGGTATAAAACTAATATATTTTCTTCCTTCTTTGGGGATGTTTCCTTGAAATATGTAACGTTAGGATTTTTCTTATATTAGATGTCTCTTTCCTAGTTTTGCATATCACAGGGAGAATTCATTTTCCATGAGAGAAATTTCTCTCTTTTCTGTCTGTAATGAAATTGTCAGAGCCTGGGAAAGAGCATGGTAGATTTGCAAATATTATACTTTCTGAACATCTGCACATTCCTCCTTTATCCAGAAATACCCCCCTACCACATGAACAGGTGGTGAGCAAAATGATCAAGTCGCCACCCTAACTAAGATAAATGGATGTTAAAGTAAACATATCAGATCACTAAATTTTTGTAATCTAAATCCTTTTTTCCCTTTCAATGTATTTGCTTAATGAGACATGAGAATTTAGGTTTTTGGTGGTAAGTAGAGAAGACAAGGAGACAGAGACCTCAAGTTTATAGCCTTTCAGAAGACTGAGAGTTCAGAATTGTTGCTGTGCCATCACATGATCAAAATGGCAGTCACTCAGAGTGGCTTCTGTATGCACTATATTTTGTAATATCACTGTATCTACTTTTCCTAGTATTATTTTCAATAGTTTTATACTCCTTTTTTATTTTAGCAGAGAAATGTTGGCAAATTAAGGTGGAGGAAGAAGCAATGCAAATTATTGTATTTAACATTTGTATATGAAAAAATATTGTTCACTCAGATTCTTTGCAGAGTTGGTGCAGGGTGTCCTCAGGATGTGATTAAATGAAAATTAAATGATTAAAAAAGAAAAAGCTTTGATGCATCATCAGATGGGCCATTTTGACTGTTTTTTACCACTCTGTGAATATCCCTGAATGGATTGGATCAATGTGGATTCATTTCTTGATCAGTTTGAGGTAGTCTGGGATTACATTGATTGAATGATATTGTCTACATATGTATGTGGGGTGGTGGTGGACGGGATGGTGGCTATAGTGCTATAAATGTCAGCGTATCTAAAAAATGAAAGTAAAAACTTCAGGTATACTCTAAATTTATAATGTGAATTTTGAAGACTTGGGAAAACGACAGGCAGCTAATGAAAGTCTTAACTTGTCTCTGCTGTAAGCACTGTACCACAACAGTGCCAATAGCTAAATGCACTAAAATTCTCTCTCTCTTTCTCTCTCTCTCTCTCTCTCTTTCTCCTTTTAGCAATTGAAACTCAGAGCACCAGTTCTGAGGAGCTTGTTCCCAGTCCACCTTCCCCGCTTCCTCCCCCTCGTGTTTACAAGCCCTGTTTTGTTTGTCAGGACAAATCTTCTGGATATCACTATGGCGTCAGTGCTTGTGAGGGGTGCAAGGTGAGTTTTCAAACTTCTCAGTTAAATTGCTGTTTGCATTCCTTCCATGGTGACAAAGGCTTAATAATAGGATTACACTCAAAATATACATTCATACTGAGGCAATGCAAGGGAGTGCAGACAGAGGAATATATATATATAAGAGAGAGTGGTCTTACAGTAGTTGGAACACTATATTTATGCCAGGTATGACAACTAACAAAACTGTGACCACAGAGAAGATTGTAAATAGGTAGCAAAAAGAAACTTGGAGCAAATGGACCTTGAGTATAGATAGATTCCTGTAGAATATTTGACAGTTATGTTTTTATCTTTTATCTTTTACATTATATAGTTAACAACAGACTTTAAAGAATATATTCTTCATAATTGAAATCCTTATTGTTAGTAATCAAATTTGGTATAGCTTTTCTCTATTCTTTAAGGGTCTGTATTGTACTTCCATTCTGCTTGTTATGGCAAATCATTTCAGTGACACAATTAGTTAAATTGCTGCAGATCCAGTGATGTTGAAATGATACAGACTCAGAGACTCCATTGGGTCTTTATTTTGTGCAATAGACAGAATTTGGCAGGACACATGAATAAATTCACAACTTGAAGTATTGTGGCAGCTGAAAAAGAATCAATTAAAATATCACAATGCAGCCTAAGTGATTTAGTGGCTCAAAAATATTTTGAAAATTACACAGGCCCCAGTGCTCTGTTCTGGGCCCAGTGCTCTTCAATATTTTCATCAATGATTTGGATGAGGGCTAGATAGGGAACTCATCAAATCTGTAGACAACACCAAGCTGGCCAATACTCCAGAAGATAGGCTTAAGATACAGAAGGGTCTTGACAGACTTGAACATTGGGTGCTATCTAACAAAATGAAATTCAATGGTGAAAAAAGTAAGGTTCTACATTTATGCAAGAAAAACCAAATGTACAGGTATTGTACAGGGAGTACCTTGCTCAATAGTAGTAACTGTGAGAGGGATCTCAGAGTACTAGTGGACAATCACTTAAATATGAGCCAGCAGTGTGCTGCAGCTGCCAAAAAAGCGAACACAGTATTAGGTTGCATTAACAGAGGGATAGAATCAAGATCATGTGAACTGTTAATACCACTTTATAACGCCTTGGTAAGGCCACACTTGGAATACTGCATCCCGTTTTGGTCACTACAATGTAAAAAAGATGTTGAGACTCTAGAAAGAGAACAGAGAAGAGCAATAAAGATGGTTAGGGGACATAAAACATATACAGAATAGTTGCTGGAATTGGGTATGTCTAGTTTAATGAAAAGGGTGACCTGATAGCAGTGTTCCAATATCTCAGAGGTTGCCATAAAGAAGGCAGGAAAAGAAGCAATGGATGGAAACTAATCAAAGAGAGAAGCAACCTAGAACTAGAGAGAAATTTCCTGACAGTTAGAACAATTAATCAGTGGAACATCTTGCCTCCAGAAGTTGTGAATGCTCCAACACTGGACGTTTTTAAGAAGAGACTAGACAACAATTTCCTGCCTAAGCAGGGTGTTAGACTAGAAGGTTCCTTCCAATATTATTATTATTATTATTGATCATCACACAGTCAGCCAGATGTTTAGACTGGATTTGGCATTTTTGTCTATCGAGTGCTTACCAAGAACCTGGGATAGGCAGATGTGGATGTTTGATGGTATTATAGATATCGTCGCAGGATAGAAGCTGTTCCTAGTAAGGCCACCTTTTGCAATTGGTTGATGGCGAATTTGTCAATGCCAATGGTGTTCAAGTGATGCTCCAGCTGTTTTGGGATTGCACCAAGGTGCCTATTACTATTGGTATCGCTCTTGCTTGCTTTTGCTACTGTCGTTCTATTTCTGTTTGTAGGTTTCATATTTTGTTATCTTCTCCAGTTCTTTCTCTTTTATTCTGCTGTCTCCAGGCACTGCCACGTCCACTATCTAGACTTTTTTGTCTTTCTTATTGACAATTAAATCCAGGGTGTTATGTGGCAGGGGCTTGTCTGTTTGAATTATAAAGTCCCAGAACAATTTAACTTTTTCATTTTCTATGACTTTCTCTATTTTATGGTCCCACCAGTTCTTGCTTGCAGGAAAATGATATTTATTGCAGATCTTCCAATGTACCATTGTTGCTATTTTGTCATGCCGCTGCTTGTAGTCAATCTGTGTGATATTCTTGCAGCAGCTTGCCAGGTGGTCCACTGTTTCTTTAGCTTCTTTGCATAGAGAGCACTTACTGTCTGTTGCTGTCTTCTCAATTTTGACTTTGTATGCATTTGTCCTTAAGGCTTGGTCTTGTGCAGCCAGAATTAGTCCCTCACTCTCTTTCTTCAACTTTCCTGCTCTTAGCCATTGCCAGTCTTGTTATCATCTGCTTTCTCAGATTTTTTTTTAATGTATTGGCCATATAGTGCTTTGTCTTCCCATGCCTCCATTCTGTTCTTCATTTGGTTTTTCTTGTAGACCAGTTTGGTCTCTCCAGTAGTCAGTAAGCTTTCCTGGTATACTAACTTCAGTGTATCTTCATCATTGTCCTTCAGATATTCTTCCAAAGCCACTTTTTTCTTCTTCAACCATCTGATGTACTTGCAACATTCCACACCCACCTATTTGCCTTGATAGATAGAGTCTGTCAATGTCACTGCGTGGATGAAGGGCATGATTCATTGTCATTATTTTTCTGGTCTTCTTATCCATTGCTTTTAGTTCTTCTTGAGTCCAGTCCACTATTCCAGCTGTGTATCTAATGACTGGAATTGCCCAGGTGTTGATTGCCTTCATGGTATTTCCTCCATTGAGTTTGGACTTTAAGATCTTCTTCACTCTCTTGATGTATTCACATCTAATCTTTTTCTTGACTTCCGTGTGCTTGATGTTGTCAGCCTGAAGGATACCCAAGTATTTGTAGTAATATTCTTTATCCAGATTCTTAATGTTATTTTAGTGGGGCATCTTAATTCCTTCAGTTTTCACTATTTTTCGTTGTTTGATAGTAAGTGTGGCACATTTGTCCAAGCCAAACTCCATTGCAATATCTTGGCTATATATACAGACATTGTTGAGCAGCGATTCTATTTCAGATGATGTTTTTCCATACAACTTCAGATCATCCATGGAGGTGGGATAGTCTGGCAGATGTTTTTGATGTTTGATAGCCATGGCCTGAGTTATTCAGTATTGTTGACAGAGGAAACAGTGCAATAACAAATAGTAGTGGTGATAGTGAATCTCCTTGAAATATTCCTTTTTGATATTAACCCTTTCCAGTCTCCCACCATTGACTTGCAACTGTGTCTTCCATTGTGCCATTGATCTTTGCACAAACTTTCCGATGTTTCTACTGACTCCTGTTATTTCTAGGCGTTTTATTATCCAGTCATGTGGCAGAGAGTCGAATGCCTTTTGTAGTCAACCATGCTACATTCAGGTTGGTCTTCCTTCTCTTGCAGTTTTTCAAGATCATTTTGTCTATTATGAGTTGATATTTTGTTCCTCTGCTATTGGGACAGTTTCCTTTCTGCTCAGGTGGAAAGAAATTGTTTTCAACTAGATGCTGTTGGACTGCATCATCTACCACCCCAGTTAACAATTTGAAAGTTGTTGGTAAGCAGATAATTGGACTGTAGTTGCCTGGTGCTGCCCCTTTTGCTAGATCTTTCATTATCAGGTAGGTTTTCCTAGTTGTTAGCCAATTTTCAATTTCTCCTCCTTGTAGTATGTGGTTGAACCTGCTTGGCAATGAGTGAGTATAAAACAGTTAAATGTTTCAACCAAAAACAGTTCATGCAGTTCATCTTCACCTGGTGCTGATCTTCCTTGCTCTTTTCTCTACCATTTCTGCTGTTATTACTAGTTCTTTCACTTCAACTTCTGTTTTATTTGCATCCACCTCTTTTAATCAAGCTGCATCCTTGTTGTATTGTTGTACCTGACTGATTCATTACAGTTTCTCCATTGATGGATTGATAGAAATGTTTCTGATTGGATTGAAATTGGAGGTTCTGCTTATAATTTGCAATTCGAGCTTCATATCTGCTGATCTTCCTGGCTGTTATTTGCTACTTCATTATTTCCAGTGCTTTTTTGATCTTCCTTGTTTCTAAGTGGTATTTCTTGATTAGGTATTCTTTGGTCTTCTGGTTCTTCAGCTTCTTTTCTTTCAACTGTTCTAGCTGGCTTGCATCTGATCGTAACTTGCTGATCTTATTTTCCAGTCTAACTTTCCATTTTTGTGGTGCACTGTTTGTTTGTTTTTCTTCTTTGTTGATTTTGCATCCCAGGTATTCAGTTATAACTGCAACTGTGCTATATAGTTGTTTTGTTTCTTGCAGTGAATTGGTGCTTATACTTGATATTGCAGTATTTGCATCTAGCTGTTTGTTTGGAATAAGCTTTAATGCAGGCAGCCTTATTCTGATGTTTTTGTGCTGTTCTAGATGCTCAGAACAGATGTTTATTCTTTGTTTCAATTCTTTTATTTCTTTAGTGAGAGGGCTTTGTTCTTCCTGAGGAAGAGGTGCCTGGTTTGCAAATGAAAACAGTTGTATATCTCTACTGGATTCCTCTACTACCAAATCCCCCTGGTTTGTCTCTACATTCTGAGTTACTTTTGGCAAGGCTTTGATTTCTTTGCCCTGGGTAAACCTTTGCAGTTGTCCAATTCTGTTTATGTGAATACTCTATTTCGTATTATAAATCAATGTTGATCTGCTAGTCTCTGTTCTGTTATTTCTGATTCTGGATGTTGTTCTTTCCAGAACTGGTGCATTCACTTCAGATATCTTCTTCTTGTTGGACTTGATCTGTAATTATTTCTTTGTTTTCAATCACTGTGTATTTGTGACAGGTAAACACTTTTTCTTCCAGTAGTTCTGCAGCTGCTGGCTCTGGTTGCTTAGCCAACAATCCTGAGTCCTGTAGCCCATTTTACACCAAATATCCAGGAACTCCAACATCTAGCGCAGACTTTGTTAACCCGGGCGACATCCGAGCCAGTATGGCTTTC